GCCAAATGAGAGTAAATGTGTGTTAAAATTCTGAAATGGGCAGATAAGACTAGAGCTTCCAGAATGCCGGCTTATTTTTTTGAGCAAATGTTACCACAGCATAAGAAATGACATTTAAATCTTAGATCTACCTACTTTCCTCAACATTATTATTATTATTATTATGTTTATGTTTATGTTTATTTATATCCCATCTTCCTCCCAACACAGGGACTCAAGGTGGCTCAAGGAAATGCAGAAGTTACAAAAGTATGGCTAGGTTCATTCTAGCCTTCCTAGGAATGTTCCTGTTTTCCTAAAAGCCTTGTCTAAACTACTGTATATTCACCTATGTTATGCATGTCAATATTGTAATTTAGTATTTTTAGAAGGTTTGAAGGGCAGAGAAGTGTTGAAGGAGTAAGTTATCCCAGGAGGACATCATACTGGCAGCTTCTAGAAGGAATCTTGTGAAATCTGGAAGAGAATCAGTGGGTCCAAAACATATTGCAGAAATAATCCAGTTTGAGATCACTTTAATTGCTCTGGCTCAATGCTAGGGAATCCTGGGAACTGTAGTTGTGTGATACATTTAGCTTTCCCTGTCAGAGAGTTTATTGGTGCCACAATAAACTACAATTCCCATGATTCCCTAGCACTGAGCCAGGGCAGTTAAAGCGGTCTCAAATTGGATTTTTTTTCTGCAATGTGTTTTGGACTTTAGGTCTAATCTACACCTCAGAAATAATGCAGTTTGATACTGCTTCAATTGCCATGGTTCCATTCTTGAGGTTTTTAGTTATGGCACTAGAGCTTTCTGACAGAGGCTAAATGTCTCACAAAACTACAAATCCCACAATTCCATTGCATTGAGCCAGGGCAGTTAAAGCAGTCTGGATTATTTCTGCAGTGTGTTGTAGTTAAAACTGGAGCCTGAAGATTCAGGGTGCATCTACACTGTAAAAATAACCCAGTTTGATACCGCTTTAAATGCTGCAGCTCCATCCTATGGAGTCCTGGGGTTGGCAGGTTTTTACAAGACTTCTCTGCCAAAGAGTGTTGATAGGACAGGGTGACCAAACTATATTTACATATAAAATACAGTATATATAATATTGGATTTACATATAAAATACAGTGTATGTAATATTAGCTGTGAGCCAGCATGGCATAGTGGTTTAAATATTGGACTAGGACTCTGGAGGGCAACCCCCTGGGCACCATTGCTTAGGGCCAGGAGGGCATCATCCTGGCTGCTCCTAGAGGGAATCTTGTGAAATCTGAAAGAGAAACAGTAGGTCCAAAACACACCGCAGAAATCATTGACTTTGAGGCTGCTTTAATTGCTCTGGCTCAATGCTAGGGAATCCTGGGAACTAGTTTTATGAGACATTGAGCCTTCTCTGTCAGAGAGCTTTGATGCCAAATAAACTGCAATGCTCAAAATTTCCCAGCACTGAGCCAGGGCAGTTAAAGTGGTCTCAAACTGGATTATTTCTTCAGTGTGTTTTAGACAAGTAGTTAACATTTTGGAGGCTGGAGATTCAAGGTGCATCTACACTGTTCAAATAATCCAGTTTGAGACCACTTTAAATGCTGTAGCTCCATCCTGTGGAATCCTGGAGTTGGCAGATTTTACAACGCTTCCCTGCCAAAGGTGGCAAGGCAGGGTCAGTAAATAAAATTCAGTATATGTAATATTGTATTACATATAAAATACAGTGTATGTAATATAGCTGTGAGAGCCAGAGTGGCGTAGTGGTTTGAGTGTTGGACTATGACTCCGGTGATCCTGGGCAAGTCACACTCTCTCAGCCTCAAAGGATGACACTGTCAAAACCCATTTGAAGAAACGTGCCAAGAAAACCCCATGACAGGGTCACCTTAAAGTTGCCATATGTCAAAAAAAAAGTGACTACATATCTTCCTTTTCCATGACATTTCCTACGTTTCAGCCTTCTGTCCAGGAGGAATTCCAACATGGCCTATCCCCATCCCATTTTTGCCATCCGTGTCCCATTTTTGTTTCAAGGAAATATGGCCAGTCTAGGCACCAGAGGTATCTGACAGAGAAGGCAAAATATCGCACAAAACTACAAATCCCAGAATTCCATAGCATGGAGCAATGGCAGTTAAAGCAGTGTTAAACTGTTTTATTTATACAGTGTAGATGCATCCTCAGCCTCTTCTTAAAACTGTTCTGTGTCTTTAATAACAACCTGAGACGGTGCCCTGATCCAAGGTGGAAAGAGGTGGAAAAAAGTCATGTCAGTACCTGAATTGGGGGAATGTACCGTAGATTCTCCAACTCCAGATCACTAAGGAGCTCAAGATATATATTGATTGTTTATCTTTAGAAGTGCATTTTTCAGCAATATAGTCTGACTGATCAAAGAACTGAATGTCTTAGCAACTGGCACAGTACTACCAGCACAGACGATTAGACACTCTGGTGGATTATATTTTGCTATGTTTTTGGACTCAGTAAAATATTTATATCAGAGATTATATATATGAATGTCATTTATAGTGTAGAAATGTTCATTAATGCTTGTAAAAAATTTTTTGTTTGTTTAATATATGATTGTTTTGTATACCGTGTAATACTTAGAACACATTGGGGCAGATCTCTAGATTACATATATTGCATGTGTGTGTACTGTTTGCATTTAAATCATTCCTGACTTCTGGCGACCCTCAGGTGAACCTATCATGGGTTTTTTTTGGCAAGTTTCAGAGAGGGCTTGCCATTGTCTTCCCTTGAGGCTGAGAGACTATGACTTGCCCAAGGCCACCCAGTGGTTTTATATGATCAAGCAGGGATCTGAACCCTGCTCTCTAAAATCATAGTCCAGTGCACAAACCATTACACCACACTGGCTCACTACATATATTATAGAGTTTATACTTTCACGAAGTGGAACCTCCAGCTCACTTTCAAGCAAAACCAAAACGAGGATGGTGAAAGAATAAAGAAACTCTATAATATATATTCTTTCACCATCCTCTTTTTTGGTTTTGCTGGGTATAGTGAGAGGTGAGCTGGAGGTTCTTCTTTTTGACCAATAAGGACTACAAGGTACTGTAAGCTATATTTCAGAGGAAGGCAATGTCCAACCACCTCTGAGGATTTCTTGCCTACGAAAACCCTAAGAAATTCATGGGGTCCTCATAAAACAACAAGCGACATGGAGGCACATACACAAAATGTCAACCTGGAATGCCCTCTTCTGCAGGACTATTAAGAGGCACAGAAGCCCTGTCTTCTTTAGCAACCAGCCACACCAAAGATACAGACCATGATTTTTGATCCCTGCTTCTCTCCAGATGAGCAAAATCATCATTGCTTCATGTCTGTCTGCCAAATGATTTTTAAAGATTTAGGAGCAGGCCCACTAAATAAAGGTGGCAACCCAAATGTTTGGCTAGGCCTAAGTCAGCTCCTTTTGTAGAGGGTTTTGTTGTTGTTGTTGTTGTTTTTGATGCCAAAGTTCAGTGTAAGGTTACTAGGAAGGTTTCCTTTTAGTTTTCCTGCCAAGACTGCTGTGAATTCTGGGCAGCATGACAGGACAAGCTGTTAAATGGCTGCTTGGCACAAGACTGTATTTCCATGCCTTTGCTCCTTGTTAAACTGTTAAAGGCATAGGGAACCAAGAGAGTGAACTTCCCATTTGTCCCAAGACATGTTGCTACCTGTGGTTTAGTGGTAAATTTTTAAAGTGCAGGTCATCACCAGGACAAACTATAGCAACAGCTCTATGGAGAATCCAAAGGCGAAAGTGGCTGTATTGGTTCCCATAAAGCAGGTCTTTTGTAAAGTTGATGTGTCTTGCCAATTCAAGGCCAGGACTTCTGAAAATATTTGGGGTTACAAGAGAGCCAGCGCGATGTAGTGGTTTGAGCATTGGACTATGACTCTGGAGACCAGGGTTCAAATCCCTGCTCAGCCATGAAAACCCACTGGGGGACCTTGGGCAAGTCACAATCTCTCAGCCTCAGAAGATGGCAATGACTAGCCTGCTCTGAAGAAACTTGTCAAGAAAATCCCATGATAGGTTTGCTTTAGGGTCACCATAAGCTGGAAACAACTTGAAGGCAAATAACAACAACAGACAAGAGGGATAGGTCATAGCAGTGCATCAGGGCTTGGGAAATCCTTTTTCTTACAAGTTACTTTGGAGATTACAGTTAAACTCAGAGAGCACAAGAGAGTCCAGTGGATGGCATGGAAGATGATACCATAGTCCTGCTCATCAAAAATTCATGGGGCTTCAACCCTGTGAACCCCTGCCTCCACTACACCACTGTACATGAGTACACTGTACACACTTGTGCCCTCCCTCCCTAAAATCCAGGTGCATATTTTTTTTAGCTTGGGGTGGAAAGAGTGCAATCCTGAACCCTTTGACTGCAATTCCCAGCATTCCTAGCTATTGACTGTGCTGGCTGGACTGAGTTTCAGCCCAACAGCATCTGGAGAGGTGGACTTTGTCCCACCCTTGTTTTACCACCTGAGGGTGAAAATCCTACATGCATCATTTCTCTTCCCTGGCATAAGCAACAATAAATAGTTAAGAGCCAACCATTGTTGTCTTTTCATTCTTATTTCATAATACAAATAAATAGATAAAGCTAGGTATTTGCTTCCTTTCACTGGCAACAAAAGTTCAGTAATACATGTTGAGTCTCCCTGATACTAGAGGTGTTTTGGATTTCAGATTTTGGCGTATTTGCCAAAGATACTAGACTTAGAGATGTAAACTAAGTCTAAATACAAAATTAATTTATGCTTCATATACACATTATACACATAGCCTGAAGGTGGGCTGGCCACTAGGTTTTTTTAACTTGAAAGAATGACTGTCTGGAAATATCTAGGTTCCCCAGCGCAACTTTATGGTCAATATCAGCCACGAGTTGGCCACAGAATTGCCCTGAGGGCCAGCAAATGCCTAAATAAGTGTTTTCTTTAGAAATCTCTTAGTCCTGCAGCATGACTCTAGTTAACTTCTAACTGAATCACGTTGGAGGACCTAGAGATTGCCAGAGAAAACATATAAATTAAGGGGGAAAGCAGACGGAGGCGCCGGAGACGCCGCCGGACAGAGCGCCGCCGGACCGCAGCCTCTGCACCGTGGCGCTCCGGCGGTGTCCCTGGAAGGAGCGCTAAATCAGCGCTCCTTCCACAAGACAGGGAAAGTGCGCCCTAAAAGCGTAGGGCGCACTTTCCCTGCCTTTTCCACCGCAGCGCGTGTGGTCGCTGCGGCGGGAGGTTGCCCTGGGAGCGCCGGCCATGTGGACGGCCGGCAGCTCCGAGGGCAACCTCAGGAAGAGGAAGGAGTGCCGCGCGTGCGGCTGCTCCTCCTCTTCCTGGCCTCGGAGACGGCTCTTTAAGCCGTCTGCCGAGGCCCTAAATCTGCATATAATCAAATCTATAAAAGTCAAAGCCTCAATGTGGAGGGCCAGCTGTAATTTTATACATAATATTTTAAATAATTTTGTACAAACCATGTACAGGTTTGTGTACATTGAGCCATCAGAAAGCAAAGGTGTTACTATCTCAGCCATCCATGAAGAATATTTTGGTTTTTAGAGTAGGACGGATTTCAGAATTCCAGATAACGGAGATTCAAACTGTAATAAATGAATAGTTAATTATTAACTCCATTTAAAAAACACATACAGAAACCCTCATGCCTGAAGGAACTACCCCACTCTGCTTAATAGGATCACCTGCCCTGCCTTGGACTGTGGGAAGCATCCTTTTCCAATATTTCTAAGTGTTCAGCTTGTATTACTCTCACCACAACCTGCCTTAGAGAGATTGCTGCACTCACGAAGGAGGCAAGGCTTCCGGGCCACAATGTGTGGTTACCCTGTAGAGATGCATTAGCAGTTACACTGTGCTTTTTAGAAATTAATAGTACCATACTATGCCTCTTTGCTCAGAAGCAAGTCCATCAGTGGTGCAACCTGGTAATTTTAGACTCTTGACTGAATGGGACTTACAGTGGGAGGCCTCTTTAGAAAGACATTACTTCACTGAGTTCAAATGGTCATGTAGGTTCAGGGTGGTATATTCCTGCAAGAGTAGCCATGCATAGAATTGTACTGTAAGTAATGTTTCTGAGAATATGAGGATTATCTTGTAGAGTTGGAGTGGTGTCAAACCAGATTAGTTCTGCAGTGTTGGAAGCTTTGTGCCATTTGGTTGCTGAATCCAGTTATCTTAAATCAAGGGTGGGGAACTTGAGGTCCTCCGATGTTGGACTATAGCTCCCATCAACCTAACACAGATAGTTAATGGTGAGAGATGATGAAAATTGCAACTTCTGGAGAGCCAGCAGCTGGAGGACCTGCTTCTGTTAATGTAACTTTATTAATGATGAGAAGCAGGACTTCACTTGTATACCTTGATCTTTACGGAAAGGTACAGTGAGATGTGTCTGGCTTGGTCCATCTGCCCAATAACTGTAACCTAAACCTTTGTTCTTCTTTGCAAAGAAGAGAGTTCTTATCTCTGCTACTACAATGTCATAAGTGCTTCCTTTGGTTGCTTTTAGATTTGGAACTGACAAAAAAATAACAATGCTAAGTTCTGCTACATTTTCATGGGAATAGTCCACAAGGAATGTAAAGATGCTAAGCATGTCCCTTTTTTTTTTTTTTTTTTTT